GCCAGCTTATCTGAAGTGCTGATATGCCTTATAGTGTAAAGCGCATTTGGACGGCAGGAAATGAATTTTCGAGTGTTTTTAATGAGTGCGTGGGTGTGTGTGTGGGGGGGCGCGTGGGGGCGTGTGGGTGGGTGGGTGGGGGTGGGGGTGGGGGTGAGTGGGGGTGGGGGTGGGGGTGGGGGTGGGTGTGGGTGTGGGTGTGGGTGTGGGTGGGTGTGGGTGGGTGGGTGTGTGTGTGTGTGTGTGTGTGTGTGTGTGTGTGTGTGTGTGTGTGTGTGTGTGTGTGTGTGTGTGTGTGTGTGTGTGTGAGTGTGAGTGTGAGTGATTAAGCGCGAGTGCGAGGAAGTGCGAGTGCGAGTGCGAGGAAGAGTGCAAATGCATAAATTACGCTTAATCAAAATACGCTTAAATAGTGATTGCGAACAAGATAGCGAACCAACGACCAATTAACTTTAAGAGTGAAATATTTATTATTATCTTTCTGACCATATGCATAACCATCATAAAAGCAAACAGAAGTAAATAAAACAATAAAAAAAGTGATTAAAAAAAAAATATATATATACATTTAAAGAAATAGCTCGACAAGAAAAATAAATAAACAAATAAATAAAAAATAACAACCTAAAACACCAAAAACTAAAACAAACAAACCAAAAAGAGGGAAAACCGAAAGAATTAAATCTCCCCTCCCCCCCCCCCCAAAAAAAAAAAAAAAAAAAAAAAAAAAAAAAAAAAAAAAAACAGACACACACACAGCGCAGCGAACAGCGCGAAGGGGCCTCGCTAATCCGCCCGCCTCGCAAACCCCACGAAGTCGGGATAAACGCCAGCGTCCAGCAGGCGCCGCTCCGCCCCCCCCCCCCCCCCGCCCGCGCCCGCCCGACCTCCCTCCCAGCCACACGGGCGAGAGAGAGAGAGAGAGAGGGCGTTTTATGTATTACTATTACGCCCACTCCCACTCCTACTCCCATGCTCACGCCACGAATTCCACTCCTACTCCCACTCCATAACCCTCTCCGGGACTTTTTTTTTTTTTACTTCTTCAATCATTATTACTCCTACTCCCACTCTTACCCCTACCCTTACTTCCATACCCACTTCCACCCCCACTCCCACTCCCACGCCCGCGCCCACTCCCACTCCCACTCCCACTGCCTCGCTCTCGCTCACGCCCACTCCCACTCCCACCCTTACTTCCACTCCCACCCCCAATCCCACGCCCACTCCCACTCCCACTCCCACTCCCAGCCCGCGCCCACTCCCACTCCCACGCCCGCGCCCACTGCTTTGCCCTCGCCCTCTCCGAAACTGACGTAAAGTCCCGCGTCACACGGGTCTAATTATTTTTCTTTCTTTTTTTTTTGTTATTACTCCTACTCCAACTCCCATTTTCATCAATTTCATTCGTCCTATTTATCCTGTTCAGATCATTCAATCTTTCTTTCTTTTCTTCAAGAGCAGGAAAGAATCAAATCATTGTTATTACTGTCATTATTTCGTTTTCTTCTTCTTCTTCTTCTTCTTCTTCTTCTTCTTCTTCTTCTTCTTCTTCTTCTTCTTCTTCTTCTTCTTCTTCTTCTTCTTCTTCTTCTTCTTTTTTCAAAATTCCATTTATTGCTCTTGTTTATTCCTTTGTTCTTCCACACCCGGAGCCGCGAGAAAGTGTAAAATCTGGTCTAAATGTCGTACTTTTTTATTACTTTATTTATAGACTTTTTTTTTGTAAAGAGAGAGGAAAGTCTCTGTTACGTAAATGATGGTTCTGAAATAATAGGTGGGGGAAGTGGGGGGGGAGGGAGGGAGGGAGGGAGGGAGGGAGGGAGGGAGGGAGGGAGGGAGGGAGGGAGAGAAAGAGAGAGAGAGAGAGAGAGAGAGAGAGAGAGAGAGAGAGAGAGAGAGAGAGAGAGAGAGAGAGAGAGAGAGAGAGAGAGAGAGAGAGAGAGAGGGAGAGAGGGAGAGAGGGAGAGAGGGAGAGAGGGAGAGAGGGAGAGAGGGAGGGAGGGAGGGAGGGAGGGAGGGAGGGAGGGAGGGAGGGAGAGAGGGAGAGAGAGAAAATAAGAGAGGGAGAGAGAGAGAGAATAAGAGAGGGAGAGAGAGAGAATAAGAGAGGGAGGGAGGGAGGGAGGGAGGGAGGGAGGGAGGGAGGGAGGGAGGGAGGGAGGGAGGGAGGGAGGGAGGGAGGGAGGGAGGGAGGGAGGGAGGGAGGGAGGGAGGGACTGAGAAAGACCGAGGAAACCGAGAAACAAACAGAGGAAACAGGTGGGAAGAGAGAACGCTAAACAAACCGAAGAGAAAAGCGAAGGAGGCGAGGAAACCGCAGAGAGCAACAGCGGGTGATTTACTGCTTTCTACTAATTACTCCTTTCTAGCTATCAGCCTCGGGTTCTGCGTTTCCCCCTCCCTCTTTTACTCTCTCTCCTTCGCTCCTCCTCTTCTGCTCTTTCTATTCTGATCTTTCTCTTACTCTTTTTTTTCTCTCTCTCTTTTCCCCATTCCC